TACATGTATGTATGTGTATATATATATATACAGAGAGAGAAGGTCATAGACTTGATGTGAATGCAAGAGTCTAATACAAGAATGAAATAAGTTGTGCTTATGTTATTTGTAAATATTATATGAATTTGGGTTTACTTCAACATGTCTTAATGCTATCCCAGTTGAGTTATTGGATAATGTTTTATCTATGTATTATGATTGTGTATTGATCAGTTTTATTTTTATTTATTTATTTGTGTGTGTTTTAAGTACTAAAAAATAATTAAAAACAAAAATAAAATAGAGGCAAAGAGGTGAATTCTGGCGTTCAAGTAAGCTGTAAGTGGCAACTACAGTACCAGATGTTTGTTGATCATATTTTTCGCCCACAGTTATTGAACTTTCTGGTTAATTAGGTTGTATTGTAAATGAGTGTTGGTTTGGGAATGAATTGTTTTTTTGATCGGCAAAAAAAAAGACTTTTATTAATGAAATCAAAATGATACGAATAAGAAAAAACATCAATAAAAAAGGTAAGAGCAAAAAGTATCAAAGTGAAACTTCTTAATCCCAACTAGGTTGGCACTAAGAAAATCACACAATCATAGCCAAAAGAGTTGGTGAAAAACCAACACACAACACTGCAACAATCACACGATGCAGCTTCTAACTTGTTGAATGTTATAAACAAAATCATTCACTGCGTAGCCTTGCCCCACTGAATGTGTTTTCATCCAAAGGGCTACTCTGATTGTAATTTACTCACGAAGATCTTCACAGTTTGGTTGCAGCTCATTGAGTCCCTGCAAACCCCCCCCCCCACCTGATTATCTTACTTAGTTTTTTAATTTTTTATAAAATGATGTGTAAAAAATAAAGAAAATGATATGATAGTTTGTAATAATTTTTTAAGATAAAATAGCCTATCCCAAATAGGGCTTTAATACATATAATTGAGTGCAATTTAAGTAACTGTCAATTTAGGGATACTATGCAAATTTGTCTTGAAAGTTACTTGAAAAGTGCGGTGAATGATATATGTAAATTTAAAGTGTGGGATGTGGATCACACTGGGAATAATTTTGGTCAATAAATATACTATTTAATAATTTTCCTAAGTATTTAATGTTGTTTAAATTTATAAATAAATACAACATACCACCAACTGCAAATAAAAAATATAAATAATAAGGCGCCTCAACCAAATTACACACAATGTTGCATAAATTTAGTGCCAATAGAAAGTAATAGTGAGGTTTTCATTTTTTGTTATATATATAAAACACACTGTTTCTCATCAATTTGATATTAGGGGCTTGACTGTAGTTCCTTAATAATATTCTCTCTTTCTTTGAAAAAAATAAAAAAATAAAAGAAGATTGCATGATTAAAAAGTAAATAGTTAATCTTGTTAAATTAAAACAAAGATTGATACTTCTCTGATTCTAATAATCGACTTGAGCCACTAAACCTGGTACATGAGGAATGAGGAGACTGTGGTGTTTGGAAAGATGGTAAAAAGTAAATTTTTTGAATTTTTTTTTTTTTTTTTTTTTTTAAAGTAGAGAGGTGATATAACTCAAAAAAAAAAAACAAAAAAAACAAAAAAAAACAAAAAATTGCCCCTATATATACCTAAGATTAGTGGAAATAAAATCCCAAATATGCTGATTATAAAATAAAAGGTGAGAGTTAACTCCATGGATGCATAACGGTTTTAGGTTTAACAAGAATTTAATTTTAATATATCCCCCTATATATACCTAAGATTAGTGGAAATAAAATCCCAAATATGCTGATTATAAAATAAAAGGTGAGAGTTAACTCCATGAATGCATAACGGTTTTAGATTTAACAAGAATTTAATTTTAATATATTCCCCATTGTTTAATTTTAACATGGTCCCCATTTCAACTTGGTATCCATTTCATTTCAACAACAATTCAAAATCAGCAAGCATTACCTGCAGAATTGAGCTCTGGAGAACTGTTTGTAAACCATTCATCAACAGATCAAGAACAACTTCATTTAGAGAATGATGGTGACACACCCCATTTTTCTGATGTTGAAGCAATGGTATAAATCTTTAAATATTGCCCTGTTAGCTTGACATTATTATTTTTTCTCTTCGATTCATTTGTCATAGCTTCCTGTGCTTCCCTGGCATTCTCTTGCAGATACTTAATATGGATTGAGTCCTGATGACCAGGATTTATATTCCAGCAGGGAAGGTAATTCCTAGCATATTTTTGCATTTGATTCATTGCATGTCTCATTGTTCATTAATGGTTTTTCATGTTAACCTTAAATGTTCTACTGTGGTAGTTTGATAATCGTTTGAAGTTTTAATGTGATTTAGGAAATGCTTTCCCTGTTTGTTGTTTGTAGTTACTAGTGTAGGATCTGTAGGTACATGTGATGATCTTGGAATTCATTTCAATTGTATCACTCTTTATTTTTGTAGGACGTTTATGGAAATGTAACCACAGGTTTCCAATGTGGTTTGTATTTAGTGCACAACAAATACAATATGGACTTTCCGTGTGAGTCACCTTATATGTCTGTTTTTGCCGATCCTGTTATCACATAATTAGGTAGAATTCAGATATATTATTGGATTAATTACATTGTGTGTTGTGAGACAGAATGTGCAAATACGTAGATTTGTGGATTTGCTGTTTTAATACTTTACAATAAAGCCTTGATATGAAGAACATGAAGATTTATTTTGGAATTCGAAATTGAAATAATTTGATTCCCCAATTATACTCTCTTGAGCCATTTTGGCCTTGATATGAAGAACATGAATTGAGTTGAATTTGATGAATTTGAAGTTTGTATGTACATGCATGTAAAGGATTGTCATGAGTTTGCATATTTGAGTACAAACATGCATTTTATAATGAATTGAAGGCAATTTGGCACATGCGAGCATGATAATGTTGAATTTCATGAGGTTGATCATCAATTGTACTATTTAAGTTGAAAATGAAGCCTATAGTTCACATGCATGTATATTTCAAAATGATATGCAAATTAATTTGCATGAGCTTTGAAGCTATGAAGTGAGTTTGATATGATTCGAGTTTATGAGATGGATTTATGTAAATTTAAGATTCAAATCTTGTAAAATTGGCCATTATATTCGTGTTAAAAGTTATATGGTGGAAATATGAGTCTTATGATATTAATTACATTGGTTGGAACCAAGTTTTGAAGCTCAAACATAATCTAGAAAAACCCAGAATTCAACCTGTCTGCTTGAGCGAGGAATGTGTAGCTCAAGCATGGAAATCGAGCTCCCAAAAGTTTTGCAGAAATTTGTATTGCCGCTCGAGCAGCAAAGTGTACGCTTGAGCGAACCCTGTTTTACAAGGCTTCTCGCTCGAGCGTCGAAAGTCTCACTCGAGCGTAAAATACAAGTAGCCAATACTTTTATAGACCAAAGGGGTCTGCTAGAGTGGAGAGCCCTGTTTCAGAAATTTTAAAAAGTTGTTCTATACTTCGTTTTCCGTTCTCTTTCATTCCAAAGCACTCTTAGGCATGTATTAAACATTGTAAATAAATTAAAGAATATAAAAGAAGCCTAAGAATGTTAAACAAGTTAAAGAACAGAATAAATTGTGTTGTGACCCAATTTCTATGTGTATTACGAATTGTGTAGGGTCAACTACAATGGCAAACCAGACATCTGAACACTGAGAGTAATACTTTAGTAAAGATATGTTCATATATGCTATTTTTAAATACTACTCATATGTAAGTTTTCTGGATTTGTGAATTCGAATTATGAATGAGCATTCTATTCATCTGATAGTGCTAAATTCTATAATGAATTGAATAGCACGAAATCATTTGATTACACGAACCAAAGGTCATTATGAATGAATATGACATGGGCCTAAAGGTCGTTCTGTATATTTGATTACATGGACCAAAGGTCGTTCTGAATGAATATAAAATGGGCCTACAAGTCGTTCTGTATATTTGACAAAGGATATGTTTGATAAGAAATGGGCCCAAGGCTGTCTAATATGTGTGTCAAGGACACAAAACGGACCTAAGGCCGTCCTAATATGAATGTGATCATGATCACGAGTATAGATATGCACATAGACATGAATATGGAAATGATGGAACTGGGGTCGTTCAGTATAAATATGTGCATAGATATGAATATGGAAATGATGGACCTAAGGTCGTTCGGCATTATGATTGAGCCCGAGGCCGTTTCATAATATCATTGGACAAGTATTTTGGACCCCAGGTCGTTCTGTATGAATGAGTATTTTGGACCTGAGTTCGTTTTGCCCCTCTGATACACCTTGAACATAATGGTTTGAACTTGAAGTCGTTCTGAATTGGATTTACATGTGATATGCATAAATATGAATTACTTAATTAAGAATCTCATTCATATAACCTCTTTACTTTGGTATTATTCACTGGGCGTTAGCTCACTCTCTATTTATATTTATGTAGGTGTAGGTGAGCAATTGGAGGATCAACATTAGAGTTTGCCTAGGAGTTCGCCTCTTTGTCAAGCCACCCAAGAATGCCTCTATGTAGAGGCTTTGTTCTTTTTTGTTTTGTCAAGCTTGGGATAATCTTTGTACTTGGTTAGAAGTCCTTTACATAGTGTGTGAGATATGATATAAAATATGTCTTCATACATGTATATATGAAAGTGTGTTAAGAATGTTTTTAATTACTACAGTTGATCGTGTATACATAGCTCAATGGACATCATCATTTTTGTTTTGCTTCCGCTTCAGGCCCTAATAAATTAAATAATTTTGATATTTTTTCTTTGAGGCCATAGGTAATCTAAGGATAACTGGCCGGTTACGACGCTAAACCTATAGGGGCGGGTTTGGGTCATGACAGTTTTGATCCAAAATAAGACACAAAATGGACAAGGTTTTAAGGCTCGAAGACAGGGCATTCCACCGAGGACTTTGGGCACTAAACGAGCACATGCAGTCATAATCATCGAGTGTACAAGCGATGACGTCCAAGTCTTGAGGTCGGTCAAAAATGGGTGTCTACAATGCTACAGGTGAAATGTTTAGTAAACAAATACAAGAAAAAGTAATTGCTAACAGAGAAATATGAAACGAAACGACCATACAGACATTACATTGTACTTACCGATTCCATCTTCGCCCACCACTCATTGGACGCCTGGAACATACCAGTCTCGCTGTCAAAGCCAATCCCTAACACTCCTTAGCTGGAATCCATCAACTTTCTCCAAGCATTCCATTATTTCTTTAGACTCATGTATTTATTCTTCAACTGCTTAAGGCCATGTTTTCTTCTAGGTTTTTTCTCAAATTTCTTAGCCAAAGACTTGTACCCAGCTTGGCTTAGGACTAGGAATGGTCGATTTTCTTTTGTAATTTCATTGGCAATGAGCTGTAGGAAAATTCTGATCAAATCACTGTCCCAGGAGGCCTTGTGGTTTAATTGTTTCTATGTCTCTTCCACACTGCCTGATATCTCCACAGATATGTCTTTGTTTTTCGCTTGGGTATGAGATAAAGTACGTATGGATGCCATTTGGACCACGAACACAGCTAAGGCAACCAATTTATAGGACAAAATTGGACATTGCACAATAAACATAGAAAATGGATGCTAAATTGTACAGTATATAACCATTGCACAATAATTACCATAGCATTATAATCACATAAAAGTAGTACGCAACGTACGAATTGTAACATGCATACAGTAAATACAAGTAGTCATTAATTTGTCCCCTAAACAAGTAAGTTAAAGCAAGACAAAGTTAGTTGTTGCTGTCAATATTCCTAACAACATTCTAAGTTTCCTTACATACGCAATAACAAAATGACAACAACAATGCATAGCACAAAAACAATTGTTTTAAGGAGACACAATGATTGTTGAATGTGTATGACATCATCTCGCAAATGCATGACAATGTCATTACTTGATGAGGCAAAATCCGTGCTCTATCTGATTGGTCCTTCGCACCAACCAATCCAACTGACACAGGGCTGACGAGTCAAAATAAGGCATTTATTAGTCAATTGGTTCGGCATTAAACTAGGTTATGATCGTTAATGGATTGGACACTCACCACAAGGCGGGGACATGCAAAGTAGGAACGCCCTGGATTTTTGGTCGACCTGGATATCTTAACAATACAGTAGTCGTACCCACATGCACACATCCGACGGGGCCATGTACTGGAAGTTGCAATAGAGGTAAACGAAGCCATGATATGCTTGCTGATCGGGTGAAACACATTAGTCATAATTTATGCTAAAGTGTTAGCTTGTTTGAAATTTAGGAATGACCATTTCATGGTTATTTAAAACTGGCCTTTTATAACAAGCAAAAAGTAAGATGTCCATTACAAATATCTCCGAATGTGAAATTTCATGGTTTTGATATTAAAAAAAAATAATTGAATGAGAACATTTCATGCTTTCCAATTATGAAGTAATGTACAATTCATATTAATTTGGTCTATCCGTCGAGGTAAACAAAGAAATTCAGATTTACAATAACCTTGAACATGAATTAATTCATCTAGTTTAGAAACTAAATTCCATGTGTTACCAATTCCCAATTAAGCAAGATAACATGGATTGTCAAATTCTATATTTTACAACAGCTAAATATATGACAATCGCTATTTTACAAACAACATGAATTGATATTTATACAAACACGCTCAACATGAATTGTATTGTGAAATTCTCTAATTTGCAAACTACAAATAACCTGATTTGAGATAGAAAATATGACATGCTGTAATTGACATCCATGTGTTGTTCCTTACAAATGAGGGAACATAATAATTTTTGGCCAACAACTATACTTTCGGAAAAGATATAATTTTTTTAAAAATTCTTGTTACAGTGGGGTGAAAGGGTTAAATGTAAAAGGAAAAGTACATGCATGTGTTTTGTTCCTTTTTCTTGTTCCTTCATTTTCAGAGGGCCAACGGACTATCTGTTGTAATTTTTCATGAGCATGGGAAGATAGAAACCATTTATTCCATCTCACAGAACCTCAGTTTACATCCATGTATTTGTTTGGACGTGTGAAACAGAACCTCAGTTGAACAAAATAAAAAAAAAAAAAAAAAAAACACTTCATCTCACAGAACCTGTACAAAACTAAATTGGAGACAAATATATGAAAAGATCTGCAGTTTAATGGGGAAAAGAAAAACTAAAAAAACATGAACCTTACAAGTAAACACTTGTTTGAATCATACCCTGCATGACTTTGCCAGCAATAGTGTGAAACAGACCCTCAGTTTAACAAAAAAAAATTGAAAAACCCCAACAACAACAACAAAAAAAAAAAAAAAAAAAAAAGTACTCAGCTCTCAACTCATCAAAATTCAGATAATTTTCCAGATTATAATTTAGTCTATAAACAGATAATGTTTGATCTTGTGCAAAAAAAAAAAAAAAAAAAAAAAAAAAAAAACTTGAACCTTTTGACTGAAAAATTTGTTTCACATTCAAACCCTGCATTTCATTAATAGCAATTGGAGTTACAAAAATAAATTGCACACATTTAAATTTGGTTTTGGTCGTAATGTTACAACCCATTGCAGTGGGTTTCCTAGAGCCCCAATTAACAAAGACAAACCAACGAGGCAAATTTGTAATAACACATAAGGGTTTTACGGATGAACAGAACAGATCGGTGAGATCGGGACGAATTTACAAACAAAAAAACCAAAACAAAACAGAAAGCTCAACGTACCTGACGATGGGTGGGTTTTGCAGACAGTGAGCTGTTCTTCGACGCCGCAGATTTGCCGTCCGGTGGCGTTCGGCTTTAACAAGCTCCGCGAGTCTTCTTCAATGGCGCAGATGTGTACTCCGATAGTGATTGGGTTTGGCAAGGTTGGTGAGCTGTAATCGCCGTTTAGCATCGCCAATTGTCCTCTTTGGCTTCAGCGTGAACCACACCTGTGTGTGCCATAACCAAGCGTAGGTAATGTGTGTGTGGTGAGGCGGTTATGCTGTGATGAAGCATAAGTGGGAGGGGGGTAGTTTGGTAAAATCACCATATGCTGGGTTGTGTGTTCACGTGAATGCCGGGAGCATCTATTTACACACACCTCTCTCTATACACATCTTCCACACACAACTCTCCAACATATTTTCTCATTAAGTGTGTGGGAAAAGAGTGTATGGTGTGTGCAAATAGAACCTCCCGTGAATGCCTTGTTGCTTGGTTTTGTCGGATAGTAAATTAGCTTTTTTTGTCTAGTAGTCGCTAAAAAGGCCCAGACCTCTCTTCCTAAACCATGCCTTAACTTACTCTAAAGTGGGAAGTTTGCTAATCCAAACTTACTTATCTAGAATTTTTTAGTGGGTTGTATAGTGAACATATAGTGGCCATTTGGGAAGTGGAATAAAAAGCTGCGTTTTACTTCATGACAAAAAAAGCCATGGCAGTAATAAATGAAGAAAACCATTTGGGAAGTGAGAAAAATGCAAGCATGTGAAATTACGTAACTACCCTCCATGTTCAAATGCACATGGATAAAAAAGTAAATTTCTTAAGTTGGGCAAGGATATTTTGGTCATTTTAATGTAATGTGACACTATAAAAAAATATTAAATCAAAAAGTCAAAAAATAACTTTTTACCAATTTTCCAAACTACTTTTCAAAAAAATTAAAAAACTTAGTAAAAAGTCAAAAGTCAACTTCTTATCAACTTCCCAAAACACTCCATAGCTTTATTCTAAGAGCATCTCCAATGCACTAGGTATATAATACTTGTTAGTTAAAATGCCTAGTGTGATTCACTTTTTTCAATTCCAATGCACTAGGCATATGATTAGGCATTTTGGCTCAACTCATATTCACTAGCTACATGTAGCTAACCTTCAACGCTAGGCAAAATGTATTCAATCATTAGGATCATTTCCCTCCATCTTTGTTGTTGACGTGGCATTCTATAAAATTAATAGTATTTAGATAAATAGCTAAAATAAAGAGCATGGTTGGAGTAAAAACATAAAACAGTTGATAGGCAAAATAAAATATATACTTTATAGTAATATTTAGATAGGTAAAATGCCTACTACCGTTGGAGATGCTCTAAGTCTTAGGATTTACTCCTTTGTCGCGTGAAGGTAAAAGAAAGAAGATTTTGAGAAATAATTTAAGAAAAAAATTAATAAATACAATCATGAGATATATTGCATGTAACACTTCATATTTTATTTATTTATTATTTTTTGGGATAAATTACACTTAACTCCCTTAAAATTTAGAGATAGTATAATTAACCTCATATTTTTGATATAATTATATTGATTTAGTAACAATCGAAGCTAATGCAGATGATAAATAAAAAAACATAAATATATATTTTTGTAAAAAATATAATAATATTCAGTGTGTTTGCTTTGAGTTTTCTGAATTAAGTTTTTTAAAAATTGAGTTTTTTGTTTTTCGTTTTTTTTTAGTGAATATTTTTAAAATTTTAAATATTTTTTAAAACTTTTTTAGATGTATCTTAATTAAAAATTAAAAAAATTGCTTAAAATATTTAAAAAATCCATAAAAATAAAAAATACGAAAAATAAGAAAGTAAATTTTTTTGAAAATTGGTTTTAGAAAACTCAAACCAAGCAAAGTGAATCATTTTTTTTATTTCTACAACTAATGAATGACTAAGACTAATATAATTATATAAAATATATATAATTAAGGATGAATTACTAATAAATTTCAAATTGTGATATTATAAACTGTTTAGTCATTCCTTTTTTTCTTATGGACCCAAATGTCTCATTCTAATGTGAATTACATAAAGAGTCAAGTATAAACATGCATGTTATATGTTGAGAGACAAATGTGAATTTTTTCATAATGTTAAAATCACTAAATATAACACTTCAAAAAAACTCATTAGTGTAGTTTTTTCAAACATAACACTCTAATGTAACATACTAAAAAATTTCTTAATTTACTTTTTCCAAACTTAATACTTCAATCGATGTAACACACTAAAAAAACTCATTAGTATATTTTTTTTTAAACATAACACTCCAATGTAATACACTAAAAAACTTGTTCGTATATTTTTCTCAAACGCAACATTCTAATATAACACACTAAAAATGTAACAATATAACATTCTAAAAAAATTCCTTAATATAATTTTCTCAAATGTAATACTCCATTCAATATAATACACAAAAACTTCTTAGTGTAATTTTCTTGAACATAACACTCTAATCTAATACACTAAAAAACTCTTTAGTATACTTTTCTCAAACGTAACAACGTAACATTTCAAAAAAACTGATTAGTATATTTTTTTTTTTCAAACATAACACTCCAATCAATGTAACACACAAAAACTCCTTAGTATACTTTTTCCAAACGTATTTCTATAATGTAACACTCTAATGTAACACCAGAAAATCACACAAATAGAAAATGTAAATTTCTACGCTCGACAACCAATACTTCAACCACCAATCCCTCCAAAAAAATCTTCCATAAAAATAAGCAAAAAAGAAAAAGGAAAAAAAAAGGGGGGGGTATATACAATGACAGAGCGAAGTGAAAGCAATTAAAGAAATGTGAATATGACTGAGAACATATGTTAATTTTGAATGAGAACACATATCCGATATTCATTCTTTAGGGTTAGGGTTTTGAAATCAAAGCTCCAATTACACAACTATCTTGGGTGGCCATAGATATTAATTTTGACTGAGAAAAAATTTAATAGCATATATTCAATAAGGGTTAGGGTTTTGAAATCAAAGCACCAATGGCACATTTAGATGAAGCTTAAAGTTAGCAACAAACCTGAACTATGGAAAAAAGTTCTCAGAAAGATTTGACTAGTCTAGAAGAGAAGGGAAAAGACGACGACTAGGTCTTTGCTCACAAACTTGTGGTGGAGATGTCCAGAGAGTGAAAGCTTGTGAAGAAGATATCAACATGGCTGAAGCTCAGATCGCCAACGAGGCTGGTGGTCCTCGGAAGCTTCGGCTATGGCGGAAGAGAAGATGGAGGAAAAGAGCCAAGAGGGCCAAATTGCTCTACCACCACGACTGATTCAATTTTGTCCCCTCCTTGGTAACCGGCTACATCGGTTGCCAATTGAGAATTAAATTATTTAAATAATTTAGTTTTCATCTGCTTATGAGATTCTATGGTATAAATGCATAAGTGAATATAACTAAGTTATGAATTAATATGATATTGATTAGGAAAATTCTTGGTGCCTCGAATTGAGCTGTCTCAAATGGCTCGAATTTCACAAACTTGTGGTGGAGATGTCCAGAGAGTGAAAGCTTGTGAAGAAGATATCAACATGGCTGAAGCTCAGATCGCCAACGAGGCTGGTGGTCCTCGGAAGCTTCGGCTATGGCGGAAGAGAAGATGGAGGAAAAGAGCCAAGAGGGCCAAATTGCTCTACCACCACGACTGATTCAATTTTGTCCCCTCCTTGGTAACCGGCTACATCGGTTGCCAATTAAGAATTAAATTATTTAAATAATTTAGTTTTCATCTGCTTATGAGATTGTATGGTATAAATGCATAAGTGAATATAACTAAGTTATGAATTAATATGATATTGATTAGGGAAATTCTTGGTGCCTCGAATTGAGCTGTCTCAAATGGCTTGAATTTGTGTTCACCGGTCGACCGACAGGCCAGACGGCCGATAGGACGACCACTCAGACAACTGAGTAAAGCACTTGTCTACCGCGGTTGTCACCTTGTTGACCGTGACTGCCAGTCTTTTTATCGGACGACCGGCAAAACAAAATTCGAGCCATTGGAAGTACGTAACATTGCTCTACTAATTATGACTAATATGATATTGGTTATGATATAAAATCATATAAATTCATGACTAGATGAATTGTACATCTTAATGTACCATAGCATCACCCTTCGGAGCCCAACATTTATATTAGCCCAGTGATGATGAGTATTCTATCACTTCCATAAGAATACAATACATTTAATTTCACAAAGTGCCTGTCTCATCCCAAAGTTTAAACATTAAATCCAATTTCACTATAGCGAAATAATTCCAAATCCTCAGTATCAAACTCAAAAAGACACAAATCACTATCAACTATGTAGCATGGACACGGACACGCGACACAACACGGACACGATACGGACACGAAAAACGTAAATTTTTAAAAAATAGGGGACACGACACGCTGGGGACACGTTTAATATATATATATTTTTTATATATTATATGTAAAATTCAAAAATATATATATTATTTGTATTTATTTATATTATTTATTTACAAAAGAAAGACATAAAAAAGAATAAAAAGAATAAAGGGGAAGAGACAGACATGGTAATAAGAGGGAAGAGAAAATAGGGAAAAAAAAAAAAGGAGAGAGAGAGGGATCAGCAAAGACGAGAGCGAGAGAGAGAGTCAGAAAAGCAGAGACGAAAGGGAGGAGAAGAAAAGCAGAGATGAAAGGGAGGAAGACGAAGAGAAGAAGAAGGAGAATATCACCTCAGCTTCTTCGATTGACAGGTTAGGAGGAGAAGGAGGAGAAGAAGAAGAGAGCAGACGAAGAATACCTCAGCTTCTTTAATTGATCTGAATAGGTTAGGGCTCCTCTCCTCTCCTCTCCTCCATCGACCTCTTTCTCTGTCTCATCTCCTCTCTCGATCTCTTTCTCTCTCTCTGTCTCCTTCGATCTCTTTTTCTCTTTCTCTGTCTCCTCTCCAACAGTTAGGGTTTCTCTCTTTCTTTGTCTCCATCGATCTCCTTCTCTCTTCCTCTGTCTCCTCTGCAACAGTTAGGGCTTCTTCGATCCACTCACGCGTGTCTGGAGAGTGTTCCGGCGTGTCCATGACATGTCCGACTGGAAAATTTCAAAAAAAAAAGGGGATACGTTAGAGAGAGTGTCGGACACGTGTCTACTGCGTGTCCGACGCGTATCCGTGTCCGACACGTGTCCGACACTCGTACGTGAGGCCTAGGGACGTGTCGGTGCTTCATAGACTATCAACAAGCAATGCAGCTACTTCAGGATCGACTTTGCTTTCTAAATCAACTTATCATTAAAATTGTCATTCGCCTTCGAAATTTCTTATCTT